AAGAAAAGCACGGCCGACGATGCAGGCAGACGCTGCGGCCTCAAGAAAGGACGTCTAAGCGATAAAAAAAAAAAAAAAAAAAAAAAAAAAAGACGACAAATTAAAAATGAAAGGTTAAAATAAAATTTGGCTTCAGGCCATAAACTAGGGGGAAACTAACAGCAAAGATAGTTAAATGACTGGAAAGAGAACACAACAGGAGCTATTATGAAAAAAAGCTGATGGGCTTTTAAAAAAGAATTTGTATAGATAGCTGGGGAAATAAATTCTGTATGTGATAGAAGTGCAATTGAGAAATTAAATAAATGGAAAATAAGGATGACTAAGTAGTAGTTAACATGCCCCTTCTCAGTTGTATACTATTATCACATCTATTTTTAATGTCTCCTCAGCTGTCCGCAATTGTCATCCTTTTTTCAGAACTTGTTCCAATGCTCTTTGATACTGAATTATCTGTTTTTTACTCTCCAATGCTTACAACCGCATCTTTTTCTTACTCAACACTCCCCTTTTCCGACAATGTTATTCCATTGTCTCCGTTTTTCATCTCTTCTTATATGTTGACTCCCCAGTTTCTGAGCTTTCCAAGCTACCCTTGTTCATCTTTTTTCTGGAGCTCTTTTGGTTGAATCCTAGCATGTTTCTTTTCTTCTTTTCTAAAGATACAAGCATGTTTTATATCATATCTGGCTACTGTACACATTGTTACCCCTTCAGAAGGGCATTGAACAGCTATAGCAGCGTTCGCATTGGAAATAGTAAGCTAACCTAAGGGAAAAAAGAAGTTCTTTTTGGCTTTTGCTTTCTGGTTCTTAAAAAAGAACCCAAACATTTAAACTCTCCCCTTTTCCTTTTTATCCTCAAATAACACAATCTTTCCATGAGCAGCTGAATATTCAAACAATAACGGGCATCAGAAGTATTCGTGATTCTAGAGCTCAGGATGTGTCTAAGCAGAAGAGATAACACAAGATTAAATAATACTGAAAAAATACACAAGTCTAATGTGATGTATGAGCTACTGAGTGAACCTGACTTTTTCTTTCTTTTTAACCTTACAGGTATGCCCGTACCTCACCTTTATGGCTAATGATGCTCCATATTAACTTGGGGGAACTTTTTGTTTATTAAAAAAATATCTGTTCCAAACATGTTTCAGACAGTTCAATTCACCACTGCATGATGCCTCAGATCTTTCAGCTTCATCATTAAAAGCTCAGTCTTGACTTCCTCTACTTCAGTACAATTCTCTTTACCTTTTGTATGCAAAGCCAATGGTGTAGTGGAGTTGTACTTAGCAATGCTCTTTGGAACAATATTTTCAAAATTCAGACTTCTGCCATAGAGTAAGCTTACCTTCAGCTGTGCCCGAGATACCATCAGCTTTGAAATTGCTCGTGCTTTTCTTCCTGCGGTGTTTCTTTCTGTTGGCATGAGGTGAAGGAGGTGGATCGAGTTTGGGGCTCGTCGTACTGGATATACTTGGGCTTGAACACACAGAATCTCCTAACCCAGTATCTGCAGTTTGGGGGGAAAAAAAAGAAAGAAAAATAAAAATACTGCATAATTTAAATTAACGATTGCTAGAATCCAACGTAGAACCCCTTGCTGTCTGTTAGCATCTAACTCCTTGAGCTCACTGAATTCCAAACGCTTACAGGAGAGCCTCCTAACAATAGCCATTACTTTTTCAAAAAGGTACAAAATAGCAACTTGGCTGAAGTTCTGATTCAAGTCCTATTAAATGAACAGGGCTCTGCATCAACTGTAGAAGCAGGCCAGCTGGAATGCACAAAAAACAATGGGAAATCACTTTCAGCGCTTCCAACTGCTCTTTCTTACAAAGATCCTACTGATCCTCAAATTAACTCGTGTAACACTAGGACACTTCAATACATAATGGAACAGACATACCCCAACGCCCTCTAAACGCTATCTGCTTCCACTAATATTAGAGACAGACACATAGAAAAGGGGGGTAATGGTAATTAAGGTGGGAAAACAAGGTGTGCATGCCTGGTACAATGAATGTTGTGTGGTAACGAGTCACTCAGTATCTGCTCCCAATGAAAAAAAATAAACCCATGCTTATCACTTTTAGTTTCCCACTGTACTCATGACAGAGTCACTTTGTCCCCTCTCCTACCAGTTAGCTTGGATGCCCCTCTATCCTAAGGAGAGAGCCAGTCTCTTCCCTGTTCCATGTAACGGCTGATAATACATAAATGCTCTCGAGTAGTTCTTCTCTTCTTCAGTGAAGAACCATCTAACAGCAATATTTAGGAAAAGTTCAGGAAATGAAGACATACTTGAAATTTCACTCTGTATCTGGGTCCTTTCACACAGCAAATACTCAAGTAACCCCAATTTTCCCCCAAGGTTGGTAATATGATTTTAGTTTAATTGCAACCAATCTTTTGGCCATGATTACTGCTAAATGCATTTCTATTCTGTTGGTTTGGTTTTAATTATAAAATTTAACACACGCCCTACACTTTAAGAAAAGTATTGACTATTATTTTAAGTGAAGCTGTTCCCAGAACCTTGGTTAGATACCATATTGCACTTAAGTGCAATACCAGCCTTGCACTTAAAGTGAATTCAGATGTTAGAAAAATATCAAGCCAACAACTATTTAAAAAGTAACTTTTGATTTTGAGTAGTTAAATCCCCATACAACTGCCTATTTGACAAAGAGACTTATTTTGGGTTTTTCTAATAAAGTTTATTTACTAATTACCCGCTAAGCCCAGTTGTGCTGCAAGTTATTAGTGGGAGATAAATTACATAGCTAATTGCTTGGCAACAGAGACCAAGCCAAATATAAACTTTATATTAAGGATTTTTGTTCTTTTCCCTATGTCTGCTATTTTGAAACCGATCATCAAGTATTTAACCACAAAGGGTATCATGGGAATGTATTTACTGCATAGGAGATTTTAAGTATTTCACGCAGTAACGCTCAAAGCGGCTATCCTGGCAAGGATTTGCTGTCTCTCCAGCTGAAGAGGAAGGCAAACCGCAATGAAAATCCATGCCAGTGCTCAGCATGCTCTTGGCAAAGGGGACACTGATACCTTCGGCTCCTTGACACTGAAAGAAGAGAAGATGCAAAAGAGGATGGCAGCAGTATAAAGGCATGACCATGCATGCAAGCTGGTTACTGCTACTCTTAAATGTTGACCTCCAGTTTGAGACTTGAGAAGGTCTTACACATTGGGTACTTAAAAAGAAGGAAAAAAACAAACCACAAAAAACCCCTCCTTTGCAGCAATGACATGAAAACTGCTGAGTTGAGACAGGCCAGCCGCAAAGCTGGGCACTGCAAGGGAAGGGGCCCAGCTGTGGTGGCAAGTTCTGCCACAGGGCACCAAAAATGCATCTTGTTGATTTTCATTTGCTTGCTGAAACCCAGAAAATCCATAAATATCACTGTAAAATCCCAGAGAATACACCAACTAGGAAGGCTTGCTCATATCTAATACAATTTCTCAAAATGCTTCACCTTTCCTCCCTCAGAAAATATGAGGCAAGCGGCACACAGACAGGCCTCGTTCTCAGCTTTCACTTCAGAAAGAATTATCCCATTTTAATCAAGGTGAGAAAAAAAAAAATCATCCCTGAAAACCCAGCTCTACCACCCTCTCCCATGCCTTTCAAAAAGCTTGTTTCCAAATATTCACGATGCTGAGATGTGTGCTGAAGCCCTCTGCTCCCCAAGGCAGGCGTATGAGGGCTGTGTTCATCGCCACGTGTGACTCCAGTGTCAGTCACAATGCCCCGGACCCATAAAATGGTGCAGAAACCACACCCTGGCGCAAACCCACAGAATATATTTTTCAGCAGG